TGGCGAAACGTTAGGAAACAAGACTTCAAGACCACGGCCACACAGCCCGGAAGACCCACACTAGCCATCGTATGCCGGCCGTGAAAGCCTTCGACAATACGTTGTTGTGTATATTCGCATAAATAGACAAATGAATAAAATTGAGGATTTGGCAGATAAATATCAAGCAGTCAACTTTGTTCTCAGCACTGGTTTAACAAAATGCCCGCAAAATAGAAAATAAAACGTTTCCATTGGATTCAGTGAAAAGCCCGAGATGCTCTCCTTCCATTCTAACCTGCCATGGCTATATCTGAGACAGGAATTCAACTCAATATCCAATCACAGATATGAATAACTTCCAAAACATAGCACAACTAATTTTTCATGATGTAAGTTTTAGGTTTACATCAGCCTCTTCATGATACTACATAATTAGGAACCTCCAAATGAAAATACTAAGAAAAAGAGAAATTCAGAATAAATAATAAAGGATGGAAAGACATTCTTAATGTTTATTTTTTCATAAATTCACAGAATTCTACAAACATCTGATAATAACCCTGGCACAGTAACTCAGAATTAAGCTTCTGAATGTGGTGTGTTCCAGATATTTTGAACTACAAATCACATCAGAGAGTGGAGGAAATAGTTAATTAAGTTCTATTAAGGTATACTAGATGATTGCTCCAAGGCCCTTCTAAAGTAGTTTTAATGTTTTGGGCACATCTGAGGAATAGTGGGAGAAAAGGAAAGGAAAATTCTTATACATATGTTTACTTAATACTGGATGCATTTAATAAAATATCTTATCAGGCAGCCAGTAAGGAAGCATAAGTAATCAGCTTACCACGTCATTCCTGAAAAAATCCCTGTGTAATCTGGGTAAACTCATGTGATGCTAGAAAGTATACTAATAGATCACACAATGTGTGTTTTCAGGCAGTTTTTATTGTGAAGTTGGTCTCTCATTCAAATAACTAGAGGAAGATGACAGAATATACAATGTCTAGTGCAAAAAAAAATACCAGTCTAAAAATACATACTGTCTCCCTACATTAATGATTCTTTTTAATACTGTATTATACTGTAGAAATAAAGTTATACAGTTCTTACAAATCTTGCTGGTTAATCAACTGGAGATCTAGCATCCCCTGATGTTGATTAAAAATAATAACAACAATACTAATAATGTTTCTTGGGGAAAGGTGAACTTCAAGAAAATGATGCATGCTCAACTTGCCCCATATAAAGCTGAAGGTTTTTTTTAAAAAAAAACTTCATTAATTCACCAAATAATTAAAAATTACAATCACAACCATTTCCACCTACCTGAACATAAATACCACTGGTGTTATTAGACTTATTCCTGAGCAGACACATATAGGTTTGTACTGTACTGTAGACATCATACAGAAGTACTGGAGAATGACAGAACGTCTTAGGTACCCTCAGCCTCAGGGTCAGCTCCTGGTGACTGTATGAGAAATGCTTGCCCTCTCAATCTGTCCCTGGCAGGAGTTTTGAGCTCTTTCAGAGACATTCCAGTTATCTTTTTGATGCCATCCATCTATTGTCTTCCATTTCCCATTACTGTAAGGTAGTTTTTTCTGATTTCTCATATGCTGGCATCACTTGCCCAAAGTATTTAAGTTTCTGTTTGCTAATCATTGCCTCAAGTGGCTTGTCAGTCTTTATTTCTTCCAGGATCAAGTGATCAGTTCTTTTTGCAATCCATGCTACTCTTCATAACCATCTCCAAATTCTGACAGAATCTTCTTCCTCAATAGCTATACATTACAACTGGAAAAATATTACTTTACCTATTTTGATCTTAGTTGCCATACAAATAATGTCATCCCTTATGATCTTGCCACATTTATCTATTCTGACCCCAAGAAAAGAAAACTACCTATCACCTTCTCTTCATCATTAACAATAAATTAATTAGGCTTGATGGTTACCTTTGGTTTGTGATATTTAATGAATATTGTGTGATTCCAGTTGAACACATGCAGAATCAAGCATATTTGATTAAGTGTAAACAAAAAAAACCCTTTCTTTTCTAGAAAAAAAATCTTTTTAAAAGTTGACTATTCACATCCCCACGGTAATTACTTGGCTGGAATTTATTCTGATGGGTTCTGATTCCAATTATCACTGGCAAGGGGATCAATTTTTGATGTGGCAATAATTCCATTAGCAACCACTGCTAAAAGAAACTCAGCAAGCTATGTGCATGCTTCTGTGTAACGCTGCGTGATACTTGTACTTGTTTTTATCAATCATAACATCATTCTTTGCAAGATCATAGCAAAACAATATTAAAGTCCAGAATATTCCATGCATTTCAGAAAGTTTCCTAGGCAAATAGCTATGATAATCATTTGGAGCAAATACGACAAAAAAAGCTAAGAAATTTAAGGAGCTACAAGGCTCCTTGCTGTATTTTCAAAAATTCATTAGCTTTTAGGCTGCTTATTGTTAACCGATCCTCCCTTGATACATCTTTCCGCTTTATTTCACAAATAACAAATAATCGTGGAAATCTGCCACGCGCATCTTAGTAAGAATCGTATCTTTATAAATTCAGCTAATTCACGCAGAACTGCTAGCAAATCTCCAACGGCAGCTTAACAGGATCTCTCCCGCCCTCAAAACAGCTGCACTGTATTCTCCCACGTGACTTATCCGATCAAATCAAAAGTCCCGCCTCGAGAGCGCGCGGGTGACATCATCATCATTCTACATTTTAATAAAGAAAGGGAAGAGGCGGGGTCGAGGCAAGTACCATACAACCTTGGGACACCTATAGTTTCTATCATAGAGCTATCACAGGATAGCACGACTTGTCACTCTGCTTACCATAGAGTATAGCGGCTATCGGCGCTTTCCCGCCGTTATCGGAAGTTGAGTCGCTATGCTTCCCATTCCCTTTCATTTTATTTCCCGCGTCTTTCCTCCGAGAGCATTCTGGGAAGCGTATTAAAGAAGGTCGTCTTCCGTTTCCTTTTTCTCTTTCTTTTGTCGCGTGCGGCAGGATGGTGAGTCTTGGGAGGGCTGCCTGGGAGAAAGGAAATAATCAGCAACCGTTGGTTTTACTTAATTCTACAGAAACAAACGCAGTGGTGTTACGTTATATACTTTAGCTTTTGTGAACAAGGAAAACTATTGTTGCTGTTAATATCGCTTTCCTAATATTTGACTTGTCTTGACGCAAAATGTCACAGTTGTGCCTGTCCCATTTGGGTATTGTTCAGGTAAAAAAAATGCACTTAAAATTATTCAGTCTGAATCTGGGATCTTGGTCAAAAGGAAAGCTCTGCATTACAGACACGAATTTCTGTAGTGAGAACAATAAAGTAATATAGTCACAGTCTTTGTTTCTTCCAAGCCCCGAAGGCGTATGTGCTAAAAATATGGGATGCGTTTGACTCAACCTTCAAGCAGGACTAATGAACATAAATATGGCCCCTGTTAAATGCCTTCTTCTGATGAGGGAGAACGATGATTAAAAAGTCTGCTGTAGTGCAACTTTTCCTGATGATAACTGTAATATGATAGAGAGTTAGGCTTAAATTCCTTTGTAAGTCACTTTTGTAAATTTGCTGCCTGATAATTGTCCCTATTTTGAGACTCCGTAGCAACTACAAATTACAGGCCAAAACTGTATGAGTCAAACTTCCTCATTTTGGTCTTTTTTTCAGGACTTGGAGAATAAAGGGACCTGGGAATTAGTGAGGTAGCTCCCTTATTTTTAACATTCTTTTATTCTCTGTTCTATTTTGATTTTTATATTTTTAATGTATTGATTGTTTTTAGCTTTGTTGTACACCGCCCAGAAGTGGTTGTTGCATGTGGTGAGATAGGCAGCTATATACATTGGTTTAATAAATAAATAAGGGCACCAAAACAGAGGAAGAAAATGCTAATTTTAAACCAATATTGAAAGTGTCCAACCATGCTTGCCTCAGTGGTTCTATGCCCTGATTCCATGCACAATACTGCATTTGGAAAGTACTGTAGGACCAATAGAATAGTTTCAAAGAATTTGCTTATTTACTTAAGTTATCTTGGGTGCCTCCTGACTCTAGTACTATGCCTGGATCTTTTCTAATTATTTGCATTATTTGTAGGCACAAATCTGGGCACTGTAAAGTAGTTGAGCCACTGCTTTTGCATTAAACACCTTAAATGCCAATGTGCCACTTATACAGTAAAACTTAAGGAAAGCAACCACAATCTCCTAGATATTCTCAACTACATATATAGAATGAATAAACGGAATATATAAATCCTCAGGTGCCAATACCTTCTTGGTTGCTTGGCAAAGACCATAACCTTATTGTTTGATGCTAAGGCCTTCTGCTGTATAGTAGGAAACAAAGGCTAGATGGATTTTGGCCCTGTCTATCAAATCCTTTATATCCTTTTCTCACAACTAAGCATGTATAATTTTCCTGCATTTTTTCCTGCTTTTGTAGTTGTCATGGTGTACTTTCCCAAATAAGTCAAATGTAATTTGTGTCATTTTGCTTTGTGATCTTTACATCTTTTGAAAAACCTTGTAAACAGATAAAAAGTATGGCTGTATAGAAATAAGCACTTCAGTATTTTATACTATTGCATCATAATAATTTATTTCCAATAAAATGCTACTAGAAAAAATTAGATGTGCTATATAGTACATTTTTCTTTTCTTTTAGGTAAACATGTTGGAAGTGAGCATCATCTCAGACCTTAGCAGTTAACTAAAAATGAAAAACATGGTTTCAGTTATGCTACCAGGTGAGCATTGTATAAACATGGATTTAGGAATGGAATTTATCAGCGTATATTAATTTTGCTCAGAGTATTTCTTTTTTTAATGCCACAACTAGCAATACATTCATAATACATAACATAATTCCAGATGGAATTAATCTATTGGGCTGAAAGTCTTTCAGCAAGAAATTATCTATGACCGAGACTAGAGTCACATCTAGATGTCCCCAGTCATCATGGTGTGCTATAGTCCTCGGAGAACAATAACTGACCTTTATTCACTGACTCTGTGATTCATTGGCAGAGTCAGTTGCCAGGTTGGTAACAGATATGAATTATAACAAACTTTCTCTGTATTGCTGGAGGTAGGAGATGACTTGTGGTGACATGGTAGGTTCTGGTTCAAGTAGTTTACACTGTTAACATTTAAAAACAAAAAATAGCAAAAAGGACAACATATCTTGCTTTCTTAAGGAAACATGAATTTGTCAAAAAGGAAATAAAATACTAGAACTACTTTAGCAATGTTACTTGTAAATAAATAAAAGAGCAGCTACTGCTTGTTAGTGTGATAAAACTCAATTATGTTCCAAAATGGGTTTGACTCATACCTGAAAATTATGGCCAAGAAACATAGTTGATTATTGTATTCTGTGTTCCATTAAAATTATTTCAGATGTTTTCAAATAGGCACTGATTTTCCCTTCAGTGTATTTTTATACTTAACACATTTTAAAAGATGAGTATCAATGAGTCAGGATTTCCTAGAACTACAGATTCTAGATTGTCCTATGTATTTCTGTGGATATTAGCATATCAGGTATAAAAAGATACAGCCTTTGTATCTGTTAGAAAATGCTGATTCATACATTGTTTGGCAAAACGATTAATTTTCAGATATGTGAAATCTTGTGACACTGCTTTGTGCAACCCTTTTTGTTTCCATGGAGCTAGAGTTGCATTGTGATCCCTTTTGGTGTGCTATGGTTCTTGTAGGAAAACTACTAATTTTAATTCATTGCTTATAGAATTTCATGCCATAGTAAGTCAATAGATCAGTTTTGTATCATAAAAGTTTGCTACACAAAAGCTCCTCTATTAGGCATAGCATTATTATTCATTGTAACTATTTTGTAAATTTATTTCCTATTTGATAAGTCATCTATTGTCTTTTCAATTCAATAAACCATGATCAAATGAGTGACTTGTTATGTAAGTTCTTTTACTGAACTGGGAACCCTTATTGCTGTGTTAAGATATAATACCAATGCTACTTTTCTCCCTTTATCAGGAGTGAACTATGTAAAATGAGGTTTGACGAAAATAAAACTTGGTGTCTAGTTGATTTCTGAACTGCATGCTACAAAGCAATTCCGGCTATTTAATTAGCTAAGCTTGCAATCTCACAGCTATGTATGGTAGCTGAAGCTCATCAAAAATTTGACAGATTTGTTTCTGGCTGGATGTTGTAAAAGATGAGGTTTACTATTTTGGTAATTGAAGAGAGGCTGCTGCAGAGCTACAAATTTGTAGACACAAGCCTGATTATATAGTGGTAAATTGATGTAGACTGAATACTGACTTTTGATTTTTTTTTTTTTCAGGGTTATTACAGAGTCATTGAAAAGAAAAAGATGCTTTAGTAATTCAGATTACAAAATTCATCTGCAGCTGACAAAGTGGTGAAGTTATATGAAGTCTATATTTATTTTAATAAAAATGTATAAAAGCTAAAGCTGATTGGTTTCTGCTTAATTACTTGGGCATCAGATTCTGAGGGGTGAAATGAAATTCCCATGTTCTAGCAACCCGTTTGCAATATCCTGTTTTATTTATAGCAATAAGATGATGTGGCTTGTTAATTAAAAGCTATTATTTTTTATTTATTTATTATGGAGAACTCGTTTAGTTGTAGTGGTTAAGTCATCAAGCTGGAAACTGAGTTCTAGTCCCGCCTGAGGCCAGTTGGGTGACCTTGGGCCAGTCCCCCTCTCTCAACCCTAGGAAGGAGGTAATGGCAAACCCCTTCTGAAATCTTGTCAAGAAAACCACAGGGACATGTCCAGTCACAAAGAGTCAACACTGACTCAAAGGCGCATATATATAGAGGGGGAGAGGGAAACTGCTTAATGGGGATTGTATAATTCAATTATTTTACCATTTAATGAAGTACTGTATCCTATAAGTTGCGCAGCACATTTTCATTCCTGTGTTCTTGCATTATCAAAAAACTTCTAGTATAGCAATTCCAATCCAAAACGTATCAATAGAAATGGGATGGATGGTGTATTAAATGAATTCATTACATCTTGTAATAATGAATTTCCCAGGTTAATAGTGCACCATGAGAGCTGCTTTCTTTGGTCTGTCCAAAAATTTTTCTCCATCCTATGCATGATTTCATTTACCTCAGTTATGCATGCCCTGCCTTTATTCCAACTGAGACTCTAACATTGTAGCATTTTTCTCAAGATGTTCTAACCTCTTGACTAGGTAACAAGTACAGAGTACTTTCCTTAAGGAAATCTACAGAGTTATAGGATGGGGGACACTTGACTTGGCAATAGTATCTGTGCAAGGACCCCAAAATTGTAGCTGATCACAAGTCAGCGGTGTAATGCAACTGCAAAAAAAAAGGCAAAAAATTTTTTTCCTTGCGTCAATAGGAGTATAATTTAAAATTACAGAAAATTAATACTCCCTTTCTATTCTACATTAGTCAGTCCCCTAGCACTCTTACATTCTGGGCACATCACATTGGGTCCATATCAGCTAATAAGCTAGATGTATTTTCCAAATGGTGGTCTGGCAGCATACAATCACACCAACTGGGTCAAATTGCTATTTTCGGAATAGAGTCCAGCCCCCTTTTGCCAGAAAGTGCCTAATGGCCCACAAGCCTTTGTTCCACATGTGTCAGTACATCATGTTAGGGCTTTTTCTTAATCTGCTACAGATCACAAACACAGAATTTGTATTTTCCCCACAAAACTTTTATTATACGAAATTAAATACCTATTCCCTCTAATCTTAATAATTCTGTTTGTTTCTACTTTCCTACCTTAGTCTATAGTCTTCCTATTACTATAAGTCTACAAGTATTTCTTATGTTCTATATCTATGTTCCTATCCCTATGTTGGTAGCACTGTTTTCCTATCTTTTTCAGTCTTTCCTTTTTCCCCCGGTCTTCAGCTCTTGTAGTAGCCAGTCTGTCCATTTGAATGTGAAAACCTTTTTTGCTCTTCTATAGACTTGAGAATGGTCTTTTCTCCCTCCTCCCCCAGCACTCAGTCGTTTCTGGAGTGGGTTTGTGAAGCTCTCCATCTGAGCTGCTGCACACTGTGGGCTTGCAGACTCTGGTGGGACTCTTCCTCTACCCACTCTGAGCTCTCAGCCAGTCTTGCAGTTTTATTTTGCCCATGTAAGACCACTGCTGAGATGCTTGTCTTTATGTCAAGATGTTTCTTTCCCACTTCTCTCTGGTCTTCCTGGCTTGATTCCTTTCTTGCTTTCTGCTCCATTTTATGGGACAAACTCTCAAATTAAGGAGAGGGTGGTGCCATTTTAATCCCAGGCAGCACTAAAACTTGATCCCAGGAGAGAAAAGAAATGTCTGCTCACGCTGAGTGAATTTACTCTTCCACACATCACTAGACCCTCCCCCATTAGCTAGGTAGGTAGCAGTAGCTGCAGCTGGACTACTGTCAAGACATTTGGGAGATGTGCCTTGGCTGTGGTTTTGCATTCATGTTTTTATAGCTTTTTCTCTAAGGAATAGGTTTAATCCTACCCAAGGCTGTCATCATTGGGTTTAAGATTAGCTGGGGTGTCCCCCACTGCCACAATTAAAGCATTTAAATAGGATTCAGAAAAAAATGGAATAGGAACAAAGGATAATTGGGAACGAGAACAAAGTCCTTATGTTAAGAGACTGTGGAAGCTCTTATTTTTTACTGAGAAGAGACTGTTGTGGCAAAAATACAACATTCAAGTACTAGGGCTGACCAATTTTCTATCATCCTACAGCGCAAGGTAAGGAATAATAAATATTCTGTTGAAACACTGGAAAAAACTTTCCTAATTGTAAACACAGTTTTGATAATGGAATCAACTAACTAGGGAGGAGATGGTCTCCTAGTTCCTGAATGAGTTGTAACAAAGACCGGGGGGTTGGACTGGGCGGCCTAAACGTTACCTTCCAATTCTACAATTCCTCTCAAAATCAATTTTCTAGTATTAGATGTAATTGTGAGAATGTTCTGATAAACAAATTATAAAGTCACTCCAACATCTGAAATAGTTTATTCATGCCTGTAATTAAATTTGCATACATATATAAACATTTATGCCACTAGGACACAGGCTCCTCCGACTTCCTTGATTTTCTCTTCTGCTCTTCGGCTGAAGAACTTTGCTTTCACAATGACAGGCTGCTTCGGCAGCTTTCCTTTGCCCAAGACCTTGTAATACCCCTGGAAAAGTAACAGAATACAAGCTCAGAGTCAATGAACATGAAGTCTTCTGAAACCGTTACTTGTCATAGCTTCAATAAAACTAATAGACAAGAATTTTTAAAGTACTGTATATCAATTCTCATAACTGATGACTTTATGGATTTACTGGGAGGGGGAGGTATCAGCAGTCCTCATTAGCTTGTGTATAAAATCCAATCTTTGTAAAGATTTGTATTTTACTCAAATACACAATAAAGGTAAGTCAAGTTGAAGTTTGGCAAGGTATAGCATAATTTGCATTCACCATATATCCATAATTTTCCTTATCTGCATTCACAAACAGAATGTAACAAAGAGATTATAAATTATAATAATCTACTTGAGTAAGACTTCACCGTACCTCATTTAAACATTTGCATTTTCTTCTAAGATGAATATTATAGCACCAAGTTTGAATTCTCTTCAATCAAAATCTTGAAAGATGTTTACATTTTAATTTGTAAAATCATATACCCTCTAAGTGGGTAACTAAACTGAGCTGTTTGGGTCTGGATGGGGAGGAACAGATTTCACCTCAATCAGGACAAGACTGTCTGGGGCTGCTTGGCCCCGCCTGGGGATGCTGGGGATGTTTTCACTACTGGTATTGGATAAGGTTGCACTTCCCCATTTGAGACTGGTGCACAACTTGGGGGTCCTCCTGGACTCACAGCTACTGCTCGATGAGCACATGGCAGCTGTGGCCATGAGGGCCTTTGCACAGGTTCATCTTGTGCGCCAGATGTGCCCTTCCCTCAACCAGGAGGCCCTTCAGTCAGTCACTTGTGCCTTGGTCACTTCATGACTGGATATCATAACATGCTCTACATGGGACTGCCCAGAAGACCATCTGGAAGCTACAGCTGGCTCAAAATGCAGCAGCATGAGAGTAAAAGGTACTTCTCATTATGCCCAGGTGTCATCACTGCTATGAGAGCTGCACTGGCTGCCAGTTGGGCCTGGGTGCAACTTAAGGCACTGGGTGTTATCTATAAAGCTGTTCATGGCACAGGGCCTGGTTATCTGAGGGACTGCTCATTTCTAATTGTTTCTGCCCACCCAGTACATTCAGGCAGAGCAAGTACACTCCAGGTCCCCTCTATTAAACACTGTCATCTTGTGGAACAAGGAAGCGTGCCTTCTCTGTTGCTGTCCCACCCTCTGGAATGGCATCCCCCGAGAGATACACATAGTGCTCACTCTCCTGAGGGCGGAAGACCCTTAAAACCCGGCTCTGTTCCAAGCCCTGGGATAAATGTTTTTGTGGGGCCCCCTGTCATGTTTTTATTGTTAGGGTTATTTTTAGTCTGGGCTGTCACATTTTGTTTGTAATGGTTTTAATTGTATATTTGGATATCGTAAACTGCTCAGAGTCTATTGGAATGCACAGCCATAATAAATTTAATAAATAACAATTTTCAATAAATAGATGACAACACTTACAGAGCGTACAACATCAATAACTGGAGCTAGTCCTGCTGGATTTTTAGCATAATTCAGCCTTGTCTGCTCACTAACAAGCGTCCAGAGCTTATCCAGATTCACTGTTGGGCAGAAGTGCTGGTTCTTTTTCAAGTGGTAATGTCTCATACCAACTTTTCCAAAATAACCAGGGTGGCTAGGGAAAAAATCACACGCAAAGTAAATTTACTGGGCAATGCATTATGAAACTTACTAGCAATTTTAGCTAGCGAATACAAGACATTGCAATATACTTTGTAGAAGGAATGTGTTTTGTCTTCAGCTAACATCTCAGCCAATGTCATAATAAAGCTTCTAAGTTCTTCTGCACATAAAATCTAATTAATTATATTAATGTGGTTATTACAAACTTATTTCCTGTACTCAATGCTATTCCCCCAATCCACTCTCTCCCTATGCCATTACTTCTTCCAAGCAGAGATGCCTGGATCCACCAGTGGCTAGATACAAAAGTGTTTTTGTAACAGGGAGGAACAGCGGCTAGTTATGTGATTTTCATATTTAAAAAACATGTAATTTCTTAATCATCCAGAGTCTTCTGTTACTAACCTGGTGGCTGACTGTATTGGGAAGGAGACAGTCAGTGAATAAAGGTCAGTCGTTACTCTCTGAGTACAATAGCACACCATGATAACTGACAGTACCAAGATGTGACTCTAGTCTCAGCTATTTGTTCATATAAATGACAATTATTTATTAAATAACAATTATAAATGACAACTGCAATCCTAGACTATTTTATTAAAGCAGCTTTTCCCACCTTTTAGATGTGTTGAACTGCAATTCCCATCACCCAGTCAGGGTAAGAAGACTCAAATAGAGGGTAAACCCCACAGAACTGTATTATCGCTTTGTTTCAGCAAATAGGTAACAAAATGAACGTATCCAGGGTAGGAAAGCTGATCTTGGTTCATAAGGTAAGTCTGCTCTTTGTATTACACAGAACTAAAATACAGAAGCCTTTTGTAAGACAACATAAAAAGAAGAAATAGCTTACTATTTGTCAAAGTTAATTCTATGGTGGTGCATACCGCCAGCATTGCCACGGCCTCCAGGGTGTTTCCTGTGTTTGCCTATGACAGAAAATAAAAGCTTATAATTGGAATTTAGTCTTGAAAAGCTATTCAGTATAGGATACTATTTAATTTTTAATTGTTAATTTTAGCCTTCTTTTAATGTAGTAATCACCCTTTAAGTTTCATTCTAATAAAACGTGTAGATACTCTGAATCAGTACAGAGAATGAAGCAATCACTGTCACAGATGTGAAGACTTGGAACCTCTAGAAAGAACTGTTTATGCCTCATCTTTTGGATTAACTATAACCCTTCTTCAGAGAAGACAGTACAAATGCAAGATGTGTTACATGAAGATGTTATGCAAGGCAATCTACATCAATAGTCAAATCCAACGTGAATTTTGGCAGCTAGAGCAAAGATGGCTGACTATGGCCTTCTGGAAGATGCAGTGTGGTCAGCACAGAAAATGCTGAATTCTACTGGTTCAACAGTATCTAGAAAGTCACAGATTCCTCAACTCTGATCTAGATGATGTAGCATCTTCATTAAGAGGAGCTTAGCTGTGCTTTTTGTTAACCTCTGTTCTAGTTTTCATATACTAAAAGGAAGCATCCTGTATCCACTGTCCTCTTGTGTTGTATATGAAACTGTAGTAGCAAATTTATTTACCTAATTATACTGCATTAATTGCACTAATCTACGTATCATTTTCAAGGATGCAATCCAACAAAATCTTCTGGTGTCATCTAGTAAGAGTTACTACGCTTGACTTACTTCTGAGTAAATACCCTCATGATTATTAAAAATGCCCCTCCACCAAATAAGTATTATGAACACAATCAGACAATGCTACTACTGCAGTAAAAAGTATTATAGATAAAACAGAACCTAGAACATTCATTTCAATAATTTAAAAAATGAAATTAAAAACTACAACTCTCAAGACAATACATTCTGAACACAAACAAAATGCCCCACCTCATCAGAAGCAAAACAAGGTGCAAGTCTGCTTTTTCTAAGGAAGAAATCAAGGAGCTACAATCATCTATATTTTGAGTGCTCTCCTAACATTCTTAAATGATAATGATACATAACAGGGCCTCTGATGCCTGTCACAAATTTCAGCAGATTCATATGGCATCTTAGCTCAGTAAATTTCATAAATTTCCCATACAATGAAGTTTTAAGTAAATGCTATGCATTGTTTGGCTAAAGTAATAATACAGAAACAGATTCAAAAAGACACTAATTTTTCCCCCAAGATTTCCACTTTCATAGCATGAGAAAAAAAATCCATATTTTCAAAAAATTCCAAAAGCTTTACATCACTAGCACTTACCAATACGACCGTGGCCATGACTGACATGCCCCCTTAGTTTCCTCGTCTTCCTCAGTCTGGAAGGCTAAAAATATAAAAACAAATTTGGTTATATTAATTGCACCCTATTTTTCAAATTTTGTTTTGCTTTACTTCTCTCATCTCTGCAGCATTTTTTCTACAATCCTTATACAAAGAAACAGTCTTTTCACATTTGGTCTGTTTCACTGATTTAGTTTTTTAATGAGCTGTAAAGAGAAGCAACCAGAGAAAAGTTGTTTTAGTAGTGGAAGAGTGAGCAGTTTCTGGTAAATCATCCAATACTTTTTCAGGGAATAGTGGGCTTCAATCAAACCCAACAAATAATTTCATGTATGTTTTGGAACATGCATACTGAAGACAATCCATTATTTTAAACTGTCCAAAACATAAATATTTATATTTTAAATACAAAGAAATGAGAGCATATTCTATCTACTCCTGTATTAATACATGGCTACCACAGTGCGGCTGTTTCTTAAAGAGCACACACTTTCATATATCAATAAAACATACTCCTAAGAGGACTTCAGGTTGGTGATCCCCAGAGTCTAGAAGCCATGCCATAAATATAAAAAACCTCCAAAATTAGACATGAACTGAGCAAACGATTATACAGGCAATGTATATCTAGGAAGGCAGTACTGTAGCAGAAAATCTTTCCACCCAAAACTATTCACGTATCCAGGCACTTTTGGGGTCAAGATGCATCCCAAAAAGGAATAAAAAGCGGAAAGGAGCGTAAAAACTTGACAAAATTAAGACTAGGCCTGGTCGATGCCTTCCTGTCGCTTCCGCCCTTCCACGAAGGTCTAACCAGGACTCCTCCGACGGTCGGCTTCTCCCGAGCACAGCCTTCTCCCGCAGAAGTCAGCAGAGGCGCCTCCCGGCCTCAGGGCAACCTCTCCTCGCAACACGAAGAGAACTACGGCCGAAGCCTGGACAGCCCCGCCGAGAGCAGCAAACGAAACCCGCGCAGCGCCTCCCCACCCCCAAAAAAGCGCCAGAAGCTCCCGAGCCCGAGAGTAACCACGTTGCTCCCAACCTACCATCTTGCTCGATCGGCGACAAAGAGAACGACGGAAGCGAAAGCAACCTCTCGCGAGATTTCGCCTCCCCTACCGGAAAAGTTGTTCTCTCGCGATCTCTTGAGTAACTTACGGCAAGTAAAGAGAGTTTTTTCTCTTTCTCTCAAATGCTCCCACAGTGCTTAGTTTCCGCTTCCTCCAAAAATGGGGATTCTTTGTACTTAGTAGTAATTCAGAAATTTTGAAAGAATAAGGGTGTGTCAGAGAGTTTCTTTTTTCGCTTCGCTTTCAGATAATTCTACCTGGCCTTCCAAAAGAAGATGGAATTATCGAGATAACTTTTCATTGTGGGAGGTTTTGGTTATTGGCTGCCTAAAAACACAGTGGAAGGAAGGAAACTGCTAATAAACCTGTTGGGGATAAAAATGAAGCTATAAGTTGGCATTGGGCATGACTTTAACTTGTTTTATTTATAAGTAAGCGCTTCAAAGCATACGCTCTGCAAAAGCTCGGAGCTGCATTTGAATCAACCCCCCAAAATGCGATCCGCTTCTCAAAAGCTGCATCCTTTAAAAAAAAAAAACGCCATGGCAGGCGGACATTTCATAGGTATAGCTCCTAATGTAAACCTTATTACTGTTCCACGAAGGGAGCGCTGTATTTCTTGAATTTTTGCCCCTACCTCAGCCTTTAAAAGGAGAGGAATGTGGGTTCCTTGGAAAGTCTGGTTTTTCTTACAGGATGGTATTCTGCATTAAATAAATGCTTAGAATCCTGCCCGCTTTATTGAGTTTTATATCAATTAAATCATTGCCCTCACTCAAGTGTCAAACACCAAAAATCCAGCTATGGAAACTTGTATCGATTGAACTCCCCCTATGCCCAGTTTCCACTTCTGTCCACATGTGAGACGTTAACATTCTCATTGCCGCTGGGAACACATTCCTTGTATTATGAGAGGATCCCATAAATGAACTGATAACCCACCCATGAATGAAATTCATTATTTCACTGGTTGCTAAAAGTCAACAACAACTAGATGGCACATAATATTATGGTTGGACAAGAAACACATGTGGTGTCTTTAATCATTCAGAGTATATACATATCGCAGGTACTGTACAACTAACGGGCTTGCAGAGGCCAATCAAGGAGCAAAGTTCAGAGCAGGTTTTCAGTGCTCCTATCCTTCCTGTGCAAGGCTTTAAAAATGATTCCTGCTCCTCTAGAGCATGGTTTTTCAACCATGAAAGATGTGTGGACTTCAACTCCCAGAATTCCTCAGTTGGCAAACTACAATCTGAACAATTTGCTCCATTCAGCGCAGAGTGTACATTTGTTGTTCTTACGGAGTAGTAAATTCTAAAGAGGCAGAACTATGCCTTAGCACTGGGCATTACAGAGAAAACAAGCAGCCGCCTACACTTGCCAGGTTTCTACCTAGCTTTAAATCAAACACTGCTGAAGTTACAACTCCCCTAAAGCTCAGTAAAACTTGCTTCTGATGAAGCACACTATAAAAAGATAACTATCTAGCCTTGGCTGTTACTCTTGTGCAAGTTTAGCAAACTCAATCCCTATTTTTACTGTTCTAAAAAGGGAGAGTTTCATGTATCAAATGACAAAGAAGATCTAAAAATTCTGCCTAAAAGACTGTTCTGATTTGTACACTAACAGAATGTTGATGTTCAGGCATCACCCAGGGAGATCTCTGTGCTAAGTCTTGTAAAATGACAGAATTACCAAACTTGCTGGGGCTCAGAAGATTCATCCTGCATTCATGTGTAGCTCCAATACCCTTCTCTCCTCTCGCTTCCACACATTTAAATTTTTCAAAAATGACTTCAGCCGTTAATTTAACAAGGTAGGATTGTGTTAACTGGACTCCAGTGAGTTAAGGTGTGTTTAAAGGACAAATATAAAAATGTGTATTTCATGACCAACAAGGCCTGGCAGCAACAGTGTCCTCTTTAAGGCATTGTATTGCTATAAAGGCATACTATACCTCCTTTGAAAGCACAGAATTCATTTTAACTAGAGCAGCACTTGGAGTTGCTTAATTTTTTTTCCTAAAGCCATCTAAACTAGTGGTTAATATTGCATCCTGAACTACAGTAAAACCCCATCCAACAGATTTTGGATATAAAAGAAAAAATTTTGGTCTGGCCATTACCCCAGAATAACATCTATTGTATCCAAAGCATCTAATTCACATATATTTATACCATTTGCATGATCACAAAATTATTCAATTGAGGTAAATTGACACAGCTGGTTTTAGCATGTTAGTGATATAAGACTACTCTGAAGCTACAGCTGGTGCAAATGCAGCAGCCAGATTATTAGTTGGGGCAACTCAGTTACTGTCTACTGGTTGGCTTCTGGGCCCAGTTCAAAGTGCTGGCTGTTACCTATAAAGCCTTATGTGGCATGCCACTGGGATATATCAGGGACTATTTTATCAAGTGGGATTTGCCTGTCCAGTCTGAGCACTGCAAGAGGTCTCTTAAGAGTGTCTCCATCCCTGCTTGAAAGGTGGCTAGAATGCAGGCCTTCTCTGTGGAGGCCCTGCATGGTGGAAGATGCTGCTCCTGGAGATGTGTCTGGCCCTGACCCTCTCCAAATTCTTGAAGGCCTTGCAGGGTGAGCATAGACAGCAATCAGATTTATATTGATTAGTATTGATATTATTTATTGTTGAGGCTTTGTTACATTCTTGTCTGTTGTCCTCTAGCCACAGTTTTCCTGATTGGGGCAATTTACAAATATTGTGAATAAACAGAGGCCAGGGACATAAATTTGGATTTAACAGATATTTGGGTATCACAGACATTCTCTCTCCCCTAACAGTTTGGTATATCATGATTTTACTATATATTCATCAATGCATTGTGCAACGTTTCTCTGACTGGAATCCTCTGCCAACCAGTTTCACGATGTGATCCAGAATGCTACCATTCTAAGATAGGATCCATCTTTGGATTATATTTTGCAGCTCTTGGGACTGGCTTGTGGCAGAATCTGCAGTAACAGGAAATAATTTCATTTTACAAATGGAAGTGTGTTAGTGATTTTTAGGAGCAGCTCACACAATCTATTGTATATCCTATTTTACCATGATACGGAGGGCAGTTTGTAACATTCTTTTCAGAGTATACTTGCTTACTCAAAACAAAGGCCCATTGAGTTCAGTGGAATTTGCTTGCAGTAGAGGACAGGCATATAGGTTGTAAGGGATTTATAGTCCAAATTTGTATATATCTAACCAATAAAAGATACCTGAACTTAGTGGGAATAATCCTTAGAGTTTTAATCTAAAGTAAATCTACTGACTGACTTAGTGAAAGCATTTTGGAAGTATATTATTCAAATAGCCAAAATTTGAGAGGTTTTCTAATGATTATGGAAATCTGACACAAATATTTACACAATTTATTAGAAATCAAACATATACTAGAAAAGGATGCAATGTACCTAGTCATTCAGCCATGGTGTTGAAAGGCCAGAGATTTCTCCATGTTTAGCAATTATAGTGCAGAATGCATTGCAATTTACTGACCATCATTCAAAATAAAACAGATCATTTGGGATTGTGAATCAAGTACCTTATTGCAGAACAAAAGGATATTTTCCTTGAAAAAATGAATTAGAAGAAAAGCTAAAGAAAAATATAAACTCTGTCATATAAAAATCAGTCCTCTTTCAGATTCTCCCACCCCTAAATTCCCCCTCTGGTGTTCATTCACTTCCACAGCCCTAACAAACATCCTTCAGAGTCAGTGGTTCTGCTGAGACAGTCAGCTGCACATAATTCACCATTCAGTTTGCACCAAGCATAACTCAGTTCCTAACAAAAAAGCACCTGTTGTTTTTCAGGAATATACAAACATCACCACAGTTGCCTGTGCTCATTAAAAAAAAAACTGTTAATGCTTACAGCACAGCATATTTTTTACAAATCTCTACCAAATACATTATTTCTTTATTTTTGCTGGCACACAGTTAAAATTCAATTTGCAGTCACTTAAACATGCGAGCAGTTCATTCCGTGCCCTCCAGCACTAGCACTGGAAAAGCTGCAGGTGGTGTTCTGTGCCCAGTGTCATAAATAGTCTTTGGATCCATATCTCATTAGAAAGGCATTAATTCTTCTTATGAAGAAACTTCATTTTATTTCCTGCAATGGCAAAAACAGAAAAGCTTCCCAGTTATTACATACATTTAAAATACAGTCAGTCACCTACTTACAAACTTTCAAGATGTGAATTTTCACCAATAAGAACAAGATGGACCCGGAAATAAAGAGGAGGAGGAAAAGGGTTAGTTTCCAGCACTCCACAAACTAACCCTTTCCTGCCTTCTCCCGCCTTCTGGAAGGCTGGTGGTTTGCACTGGAGTTTACAGCGTGCTTTGGGAGGCTGCAATCTTCAGCTTTCCTCCTGCAAGGCCGCCTGCAGTTTTGTCTCCTGCATAGCCGCCCCCTTCACCCAGGGAGCTACCGCTGCCTCTCCTGCCCTGCCTAGCAACAGAGTGCACCACACCCCACTGGCTTGTCCCCCTGCACTCTCCAGAGTCTGCGGGCTATCGCTTCTCACATTGACAGCAGAAGACAAGGTTTCTCTGCCCACACCACTGCCATGCCTCCTGCCTCTTTTTTTTTTTTTTTACTTTTGACAGTACTTTTTACTTGGTTGGACTTACGAACAAAATGGACTTATGAACAGCCTCTTGGAACCTAACCTGTTCATAAGTAGGGGACTGTCTGTACTGTATTTGTAAAGATACTGCAGCACCCAATTGGCAATCAGGATCTAGTTGGTTAGTAAGAGTAGATACCCCACTCTAAGGATTCTTGTCTGTATAGTTCAGACTATATAATTCCTTCTTAATAAAGGGCTTTTCTTTTAAATCTACCAACATGCTATACTGAGGAAGCCTCTAAAGCAGAATACATATCAGGACCTTTGCCTCCTTGCGCCATATGCACTACAAGCCTAGTCTCCAAAATACAAGTATTTCAAAGCTAAATTCCTTACCAAGGCCTCGTAGAAATTTATTTACTCCACTTTGTTCA